TAATCCGATGTACTTATTAATTATTCTTATTTTTACAAAACAGTTCTCAATTCAAATCTACAGAGAATAAATATAAATCTAATAATTCAAAAATATGGTTCCATCGCTACACAGGAATTACCATGTTTCAAAAACAGAAAGTAAAACTTCAAATTCAATTACAGAATTAAATTAAAGTCCCTAGCCCTGTTTCATTTTCAAACGAATTATGGAAAATGAAAAGTGAAAATGAATACCATACCACCTTTTGTTAAAATGAATGGATTTCCCCGTATCCTTAGAAACTAATATTATGAATGTGTGTGCTTATAAAACTCACTAAATTTCAAAATATAACCATTTCAGCGAATACTTTGTTAGAAGCACGGTCAATAGTTGTGTCAGCCAGACGATGTCTTCTCAGCTGAGCAATAGCAAGCGGGAAAAGATCATTGAGACATTAATTCAAATATTGTCCTGTAAATCCTAAATCAGAACACAAATCATCGACGCACAATAATTCACACTAATTCGACTGAATAGTTCTACTCACTAGTCAAACAATAAACACTGCCTGACACCGCTATTTATATACCTAACGGGAAACATATATTTATAAGTCCAGAGTGTCATGTTCAAACCTCGCTGTCGGTAGTTACTTATTTCCTTCCTAGATGACAATATATATTTGTTTATGCGTCTGTGTGAGTGTGCCTGTGCGTGTGTGTGTAAACAATGCAAGATAATTATAAACAAGCAACAACACTTGAAATATAAATAACTTGAGGGCCAAATTCGCAGCTTTCAATCAGGCCTAAAATAATCATATAATTCGACTGGTTTAAGAAAATCTGCTTTTAATTGAATTAGACAATTGCAGAATCAGGTCTGTATTCTGAACTTCAGCCATTAATTATTAATTAGCTAAATGCAATTAATGCAATATATGGCTATAGAAAATGAGAATGCAATCATGACTCATAGATTTTGAAATAAAAGAGGCCAACAAAAATTGTATGTTATTATTGATTATGCATTTACATGTGAATAATACTGCTGAAAAGTTATCATCCCGACCAAGAAGTCATTCCAGAAACAAACAAAAAAGCAATTTGATAGTTGTCATCTGGTCAGATTTTGAGAAGCGAGTTGAACTGAGAACCTTTCAAAAAACTACATATTAAAACTGAAAGGGTGAAAAACGCTGAAAAAATATTTAGTCTGTACCAGAGAACTATAAAAATTACAGTAGTGCCTATCATTATCGGCACACTTGGAACCATTTACATCTGGCCACCTAACTCCCCAGACTGCAACCATTTTGGAATATTAATTGTGGGGTGCAGTTGAGCAAGCGACTAACAAAATTCCTTGATGAACTGAAGACAAGGATTATAGTATCATTCAACGACTTAAACAAGGACACTTTCCAGAAGATTCGCAGGAGATTCCGAAGTCGTCTGGGGAAAGGGGATGAAGCCAATGACGATTTTATTGAATAAAAACGTGTTTTGTTGCATGCAACATCAATATCATCAAAACACAACAGATCTTGTATCAGGAATAACAACTCTGAGACATGATAAGAAAGCATTATTGGGGAGAACGTATCTAAGTGAGGTAGAGTTCTTCCTTCAAGGGAGACAATCGTCAACAAAAGAGGTAAGTCCTGTTAGTCTATACCACACTATCATTCCCGTTATTGCATTTTTAAATCAATTTCGATGAATTTCCTGTCTTTGAGACAAAAGCGTTCAAGTACTCTGATTCCCAAAGAACAAATATTGTCAATATATTAAATACCTTGTCCTGAATGTGTTTGTCATGCTGTTTCAAATAAGAATTCTTTTTTAAGCTCAGTAAAAATTTCTGACAAAGTGTACTTGTGTATAATACGACCTTCTTCTTTACCTTTAATTTTCGTTCAAAAGTCCTCACTTTATATACAATAAAAAAAACAGTAATTATAACAGTATTATATATAATTGTAACGGTTATACATATATATACATGCATATATATATATATATCAAAATCTGTGTAAGCAATGACTGGTCATGAATACCAATTTCATGCGTTATCACGCAATCATCAGACGGCAAGTGGTATTTACCAACCTCCAAATTAGGCATAATGTGGCACAAGGCCGGTAGCCGTAGCTTGTAAAATGGTAAGCTATATATCACTAGGCGAACTCAATATGACGGGTAAACCAAACCCGCCCGGTGGGAGTGTAAACCATCCGGCCAAAATCGAAAATAGCCGACAAAAAAAATGATTAGTACACCTGAGACAGGTTTTCCAGTACGGAAAAGCAAAGTGCTCAATGACAATTGAATTTAGCGCCACAGCAAAGGTGCTAAAGTTTAAAGCAAAAATTTCTCTACTTGACCAGGCAACCAAATTTACAGAGCTTTTTTGAGTATTAAAAAGCATAAGCAGCTCGAAAAAGATTCTGCCCAAAAACTGCTTACTGACAGAAAAGTGCACGATGCCACAAAAAATGTCAGAGCATCAAAATAAATCAAAATTCGGGTTAGCAATGACTGGCCACGACTGCCAGCTTCATGCGTTATCATGCAATCGTCAGGCAGCCAGTGGTATGTACCAACCTCCTATAAGGCAGGATGTGGCACAAGGCCAATTTTTATGTGTGGCAATTCCGAGCCCGTACGCTCGGCCAAAATTTCCCCGTAGACCTCGCGATGCACGAAGTTGGGTCTGTCTACCACTCCAGACGAGAATCTGCCCTTCGGCATAGCCTCGTGTGGGTTCCTTTCTACTAGTTCGACTAGACGGGTTCAGTAAAACGGGCAAAACAAACTCGTCCTGTGGGAGGGTAAACTATCCGGCCAAGACCGAAAATAGCCGAAAAAAATATTAGTACACCTGAGACATATATATATATATATATATATATATATATATGTGTGTGTGTGTGTGTGTGTGTGTGTGTGTGTGTGTGGTGTAATAGTTAGCAAGCTTGTCTTGCTAGAACAATTAAAACTGAGTAGTGACTTCGTACCTAACTGGGTGTCTCCTACTTTCGGCCTAGTGCCGCATCTAAGCTACGATATATATATATATATATATATATATATATATATATATATATATATATAGAGAGAGAGAGAGAGAGAGAGACAGACAGAGAGATGATTTGTTAATTTTAAGGACTCCAAAACTAAAGTTCTCACCATTAATCATCTGAGACACCCCTTCACTACCTTCCATCAGTATGGCTGATGCTAAACTTTTGGAAAGTAACTCGTTGCGCCTTCTCTGGCTAACGTTCTCAACTAATATCAAGAGAAAAGAATATATTGAATCCATTGCTAGGTAAGCTACTAAGAAAGTTGGTTGGCTGTGTCGTGCGAGACAATTTTTCGCTCCAGAATCTATCATACATATCTATATGTCTAACATTCGTCTATGCATAGAATATTGCTGCTACATATGGTCCGGTGTCCATTCTGTTCACCTTGAGCGCCTTGATAAAATCCAAGGAAGAATCAGCAATATTATCGGTCCTGATCTGGTGGCTCGGCTTCAGTCACTTCCCACCGCCGTATAGGTTGCCTATCTCTGTCTTTTCTATAAATAGTTTCATGGTAATTGATAGGATGAACTCGTAACTATTGTACCTAGACTTTTTGAATTTAAGCTCAGTAATAGCCTCATACATTTGCAGTTGAGTTGGTTAGAGGTACCATAAATTCTATGCTAAGAGTTCCTTCTGTCACACTTTTCCCTTGTGGAACTCCCTTCCGGCTACATGCTTTCCAACCAACTTTAATCTTCAAAAATTTGAATCGCTATCTACTGTCCTCCTGATTACTCTTTTCTCGCTAATGTTTCTGTTCCTAATTCTTCCACACCCAGTAACCCCTAATGTGCTAGTGGCTTTACCGCCTTACATGGGGTGAAACCGATTAAAAAAACTATCAAATGTAAGAAAAACAGAATGTATGGTTTTCAGCAAAATAAGAGAAAAAGTCCTAGATGTGAATATGGTGATATGAACATCATACAGAAATATATCTTCCAAAAGCTAAGCAAAATACTATGAAACAGTAAGATTTCGTTAAAGGGCGCTAAATTGCTAAGTCGTATCAACCTCTTCGTATGGCAGTGAATGCTGGACAATTTCCCCACATATGGTGGTTTCCTTAGCGTAGCTGAGATGTGGCACAAGGCCGCCTAGTTAGGATCGAACTCACTACTCAATTGTAGTTGATCTATTGTGACAAACTTGCTAACCATTACACCACGTCGAAATGACCAAATCTCCCCTATACGAAGTGAAATCTGAAAGCTGCAGAAATATGGTTCTACAGAAGGATGCTGAGAATTTCATGGACGGCACGAGTATGCAACAGTGAAACTTTTAAATAAAATGTTAACGAAAAGAACACTTATAATCTAAATCGGAAAGACATAGTTACTTTTTTTACAATGGCGTTCATCCTGTGCAAGAGCCACTCGAAGTAGAGTGTTACAGAATAAGAGGCAGAGCCTTTGTGAGCAAGGTAACGGTTAACCCTAGATTTGAACAGGTTAAGAATGTAGTGATCAGAGAAGCAACCTCTTGGGTGTCGGTTCTACATGGCAATGGTTCGTGGGTCGATATTTTGGATATATAATGAGGAACTGAGGCTTGAATACCTTGTCGAGGCATATCGCGATCAAGACAGAAGAAATTTTAATCAAAGACATGGTTGCTATGAAAGATTAGAAAAAGTATGTTTGTTTTGTCATTCTTTTTTACGGCTTATCAACCTTTTACAGGTTATTTAAACCCAGAAAATATTTTCAAATTGTATGTATTTTTTTAGATAATAATTGTTCAGTGATACAAGTCTTACTAATTAACCCATAGCTGGGAGGAGAGAAGGTGGATTAATACCTTTCCCAAGGATATTTGCGCGTAAGTGACTATAAAGAACGCAACAAAAACTGGAACTCGGTTCTCCAATTAACAATTCCGAGCCATTATTTATTACACCAACTGCACATCCAAGCTTACAGCACCTGGTATTCCCAAGAGGTCACACATATCGGTTCTGATCATGGTCGACATTGCTTAACTTCGATGTTCGTAAGGGAACCAGTGTTTTATCCTGATGTGGCGGTAAGCTGCTTTAAGATAAACAAGAATAAGAACAATAATCCGACCGTAAATAAACTAAATAAAAACAGATTTTTAACGATTTAAACACAGTTTTCTGTGCATTATTGCACATCCATTTTAGATTCAAAATAACTAACAATGGTCTGTGAGTTTGGATACAAAAGTTGCTGATGTTCTAATCTTGGTGCACTTCCGAAAATCTGACTAAATGATCAAACATTTGAATTTATGCATAATTCTTTTCAGGGTTCAGTTTTTCAGTCCTCCCTCATAAGCAATACGAATGCTCACAGATTGATGGCCTTGTCCCATACAAAGTAATGCTCAATTGGGCACAGAAAAAGAAAAGAGGGTTTCGAACAGATTGAAAGCGAGGACAGAATAACCTATATAGCGAGCTGCTAATAAACGGATGGTAGAATAGATTTTAAGAGAGACAACAAAAAGACAAAATTTATTAAGAGCTTAAAAGGAGAGGAAATTGTGGAGTGCCATGAATGAACATGACACATACAAAAAGAAGGAATAAGATGGTAGTATCGAAAAGAAATGTTAACGCTTAGTAAATATCAACAGAGTATGTTATTAGACTAGTATCATTACGACTCCTTAGATGAAACCGATTTTTTTATTTTTATTATTATTCACATGTGTGTTTATTTAGGAAAATTAATGACAAACTGGAGAAAAAGTTTCGTGTGACGCGTTTTGACTTTTAAAATTTCATCGGAATAATGTGATGTTGATGTTGATGGAACTACGCATGCGCATGAAATTTTAATCTTAAATTTTTATAAGCCTGATTGTTCCTTACTTTCACAATAAATTCGTGCGTACGCGATGCAATGTTAGTTAGTTAAGTTAGTTATATGCCATGTGTGATACACGCTTAGGCGATCATGCATCTTTCGATGTATGACTAATGAGGCAGATTTTTTCCCGCAGTAGGTAGCCATTTCTTTCTGTGGTAGACTAGTGGCTATAGAACCGGGTCTCTCCTGCTATTTACCCATAGCGAGGGGGCGAGAAGAAGAAGATTCATACCTTTCCTAAGGGTATTAGCACGCAAGTGAATGTAATGGATTCGACTGGAATTCGAGTCTTTATTCATTACTCCACCGTGCCTCCAACCCATCAACAACTCATAAATAATGAATTATACCGATTTCATTGCCAGGAAAGACGAAAAAAAAATGGCGATACTGGTTGGTTTCCCTGGGAAAAAAGAAAGAACAAAAGGTAGGGAAATCCGGAGGTGATAACAGTCTCACGTGTTTAACATCTGATTCAGTGAAATTGAAAAACTTGTCAATGCGAAATCTTTTCATTTGTAGCCTCTGTTTCGTATAATGACTTGCTTACATTTTATGCTTGTTATTGCAGTAATTTGCTAATGATGTTATCGTCTAAGATTTAACGATGGATTAGAAGATTTTCTACAGGTATTTTATAGTTGCAGAACTCGCAGAAAGCTTGTTCAGTCGCTAACTTATGAATTTAAATTCATCTTCTTTTATGTGCTGTCCCTTCAGGGCATAGAAGATTATGGCCCTCCACATCTTCCTGTCCCTTATAGCTCTTAATAAGTTTTGTCTTTTTGTTATTAAGCTCATAAAGTGTTTTACGCGCTGCTTTCTTCTGTCCTTTCCCTCAATCTGTCCTGTGAGTATCAGATTTTCCTAGTCCTCTTTCCTCATTACGTGCACCAGAAACCAGCCTCTTCCTGATGTTAAGCATAATTTTTCTCTCCGTTTCCATTTTCTTTGAAAACTCCTTCCTTCCTTCCTACCTCCATCCTCTCCAAAACTCGTTGTTGCTCACATGTTCGATCAATGGTATCCTCAGTATCATTCTGTAGAACCATATTTTTTTTGTTGCTTTGAGTCTCTTCCTTATCTTTGAGAAGATTGTTCAGCATTCGCTGCCATACTGGAGGTCAGTTATTGCGTAATAGTTCAGTATTATTTCCTTTGTCATAAAAAAAACTTAGGCGGTAGATCGTAGGAATTTCGGGAAATGTGTTTCTCCTAAAATGTTAATTAATGATAACAGGCGATTAATATTAAAAAAAAAAAGATCTGGAGCGTTGTAAGATCAGAAATGGATAAAAGCATCCTTTGCACAATATATATATATATATATATATATATATATATATATATATATATATATATATATATATATAAAAAAACAATTTATACAAAATTAAATAGCAACGTTCATATGATTAATGGCGAAATAACTTCGGTAACAGTACTTAATGAGAGTTAATTTACTATCAAATCCTTCAATAAAAACATCCTTATATTTGAGTTATTTTCAGATGGAAGACACATGCCAGGTACCTTGGACAATTTCAAATTGTACATCTGACAACAACTCAAATATAAGGATCTTATTATTCAAGGAATTGACAATAATGTCTCATTAAGTCCTGTTAGCGAAGTGATTTCGCCATTAATCACATTAATATTGCTATTTAATTCTTTGTATAAAATCGCTTTTTTGATATAAAATATAATCTGCACACTCTATATATATATATATATATATATATATATATATATATATATATATATATATATATACACCTAGTGAGCTAGTGTCTGGCTCACTGGTGTATCTAGGTCTGCTCTACGGTTGTATTGAGCGCTTTTGTTATTTAGTTGTTTACTCGTCGGGGTTTTTTCTTTGGACTTCAGACCTGTATCTGTGCGATTTTTTTTGTCGGCAGAAGTTCATGTTTGTAGCTCTTTTTTTTTTAAAACCTTTTTTTCCCTCGAGATTGATTTGATTATTAGCAAATCAAAAAATTCAAGGGTTTTTCGAAACGAGTCTCGTTATATAATTATATATATATATATATATATATATATATATATATATATATATATATATATATATATTCCACCATCGTCGATTGTTCCCCGAACGACTGCCAGTTACGATGAACGGATGTCCTCTTGAAGAAGCACCGTGTCTTGAGAGATTAATGGGCCCTAATCTCACGTCTGACCTCGTGGAACTCGTACATACAAGCCATTACAAAAGATACAGGTAAAATGGGCAGTTCTCTGTATCTTTTCAGTAAGCACCTGACTCCGCGTACTATCCTCTACGTTTAAAATAGATCAAGCCAAAAATGGATCACTGTAGTCATATTTGTCCGGCAGCTGCACAGACTGCACTCTCCAGCCTCGATAGAGTTTAAAAGCCTCTCCGAGTCTTTGTGCGTGATGAATTTTTTTACACCCTTCAACTGCTCTCACAGGCTTGATGTGACAAGCTTCTCACTGATCTATCCCTACTTTCATGGAAAGTGCTTGGACGAACTATATTTCTTGGTTCCACTAGGCCTAACCCTCACGACAAAGATCCGCCATGCCACTTACATCGTAGCAACCCACTCACATTCCCTCCGTATTCCATTGGTGAGTAGCAAATTCTAATTGAACAGCTTCTTCCGGCGAACCGTGGAACCGACTCTTAAGATGATGTTTCCCCGATCACTACAATCTTAACCTGTTCAAGTCTCGGGTTAACCGTTACCTTCCTCCCCTATCCGTACAAACTGCCTCCTAACGTAAGCCTCTATCTCGAGTGACCCTCAGGCATGTACAGGGTTAACCTTACTACATTATATATGATGGACTCTCCCGTCGAGTTCGACGTATGAAGTTCCGATGACCACGAACTAATTATCTGGATGCCTATGACGGGCATGACTTTTGAGACCGGCTCGAGAATTGCACAAAAGACCACAAACAGTAGAACAGTAGAGGAGTATGTATTGTATCCAAATGCAGCAGGAAAACTGTTACCTGTCTTATTTTGCTTTCTCTTTTCACGTAGTCGACTGATGGTTACTTCTTAGGGCAGCTATATCAGTGTTGTATTTGGTTAGCTGCCATGTGACCAAAGCTTTTTTTTTCTGGTGCTGAGTTCTTGTCCTGGAGAGTTCGTACATCCCAAGAGCCAAGATGAAATTAATGTTTTTCGTAGAGTTTTTTTTTTGCAGTAGCCGGACATGTGTGGAACTAATTAGATGTAGTTGTCAGAAAACCAACACAATGATTTGTTTCAAGTGGGCAAGGCTTGTGTAAGACCATCCACACTTTTTGGATCTGTTGATAAAATAGTAACGGTGCAAAAGACGTACCACAGAAACTCCGAACAACAGTTCACATGTGTTATTATCGCGGAGCTTAACCTCTGCGGATCACAGTCAATGCCAGCCAGTACACGCCTCTCAGCAGGCACATGCAATATAATGACCGACTTAAGCTTTCATGAGTTTTCCTTCCCATCTGAAGTCCTTTTTTTATCGTGAAACGAACATTAAAAGGATTGCTAACCAAAGCTCAGAGAGACTCCTTTCACCCTCATCAAGAGCAGCTAACCCGCGTCATTCTCAACCTGGCACTTAACATATATATATATATATATATATATATATATATATATATAATCACTTGGCGATTAGTAGGGATAATTCCAAGGAGGATATAAATCCAATTTCTAGGAGCTCAATGTAAGAACAGAGCGATATAATAATTGAATATAGAATCCTTAAAAATCAATTCGGTCCGATAATAGTTTATTTCCATCTCTTCAGACCAGTTTTACAAAGATAAATGGAGTTCAATTTATTCTGACGCAAAGAAAAGGAAGAAGAAAAAGGAAAAGGTTTTAATATTAAAAGGGGAAAGAAAAAAGGAGAAAGAAAGACAGAGATTTCAATATAACGTTTTTTTTAGGGGGAAGAGAAAGAGAGAGAGACATGGGGTGGGATAAGGGAAAGAGAGAGAGAGAGAGAGAAAGGAATTAAGCAAGTAGACAGGGTGACACAGAAAATATATTTTTTCTTCCGGGACTTGACAAGTTAAAAGTAGGTTGGGGGAAGGAGTGATCATATTCAAAACAAATACATTGAAGTTGTCTAGCAGTTTAAGCAGCATCATAACTCTCACAAGTACAAACTGATAATAATATTGAAATATTTGACATCAATATAAGGAAATGATATAAAATAATAAATGAAATACTTTAAAAAAATTTAAATTAAAAAAAATTACATTAATAAAGAAAAGTAAAGAGCCATTTTAAGTAACTAAAAACTTAAAAATGCAAAGACTTATAAATATATATGCGCATATACATACACACATACATATATATATACATATACACATAAATATAAACATATGCACATACATCTACATACAGACACACATATATACATACACACATCAATACATAAACACATATACATACTCATAAGCACATACATATAAATATATGTCAATAATAATAATAATAAAATTAAAATTATAAATAAAGAAAATAAAATTAATTCATAATTTAAGATTGTAACCGATGTAGGCGAGAAAACTACATAAATGATCCTATATATAAAAACTCTGTAAATCCATGTATGCATACATTTTAATGCCCATAAAATGTCCAACACTTCTATAACTGAACCTTTTCTCGATAAGACCATTTAATTAGCTCAAGAACAAATAAAATACGCACAATGAAGTAAAAAACATTAAGCCCCGCAGAAAATCATTATTATTCAACAACGAAGATATATGGCTAAAAAGAAAAAAGAAAAAAGAAGGGACCTTTTTATTTTACAATGGGATGTTTTGATGGAGCAGAAACCTGTCAGCATATAATTATACATTTGCTACATGAATTAAGTAGAATAATCGATACAAATTCTATAGGCCTCCACAGGGACGACGGCCTCATAATCCTAAGAATCTATAACAGACAAAAAGGCAGAAAAAAAACGAAATATAACAATAAAAATTTTCAAAAATATGAGCTTCATAAAAACGAACCTAAAGTAGATTTCCTAGATGTCACATTCAACAGACAAAAATGGAACTATCAACTATATAGAAAACCCAAATGACAAATCACTTTACCTGCAACTTCCAACCACCAACAAAAAATAATCAAGCAGATGCCGTAAAAAGTTAACGGCTGTACTTCAAGTAAAAGGACTGAAATGAAGCTACCAACAACACTAGGAAGAGCGATAACAGTTAATGGACTTAAGAAACTTATATATTTTAAAATATTTCCAACCGACAGTAAAGATAAATGTTTCTGTCAATAGTTGTCCAATGTTTTTATATATGGAAACGCCAAATATTACCATTAGTATTAACATAAGCATTTACTTAGTTTGGGAATAGGTAAATATTAATCATTTATATCTGAGTCTATATACATTTTGATGTTGTTTTGGTGATAGGCAAATGTAGTGTGGTTATTTGAGTCTTTACGTATTTACTTGTTTCAGTCGAAGATAAATATTAGTCATTTATATTTGAGTCGATCAGCATTTATTTTATTTAGGGATAGTCGTTTACATTTGAATATTTACTTGATAGATGGACCCTTTTATGCGCAGAGGAGGCAAATTTTAGGGTTCGCCGACACAGTCGTGACAGGAAAGACGACGAATGGTGTGACCACTTTCGACCACTCACATGTTAAGAGAATAAAATAGATATCTACCTTTCAATTTTATAAAGATATACTACTTCCGGCAGTAAGGCCTCTTATATGGAGATTGGAGGTTTTGAGGAGCGTGCAACAACCTCTTAAGTCCAGCCTTACCCAGGGTAGTAGCATCTGTTAGGGTCCCAGCTATGGGCAAATAGAGAAGCCCCAAGCAAAAACAAAAGACTATGAAAGTATAAAAATACCAGCAATACATTTTTATAGAAGAAATTAACAGCAATACATATTTATAATAAAATTACCAACAATACATTTTTAAGCAATTCATTTCATTGTAGAATTACCAAAAATACATTTTATAGCAAAATGACCAACAATGCATTTTATCTGTAGCTGAAGTCATAAACTGTGTTCAAAATATATTTAGTTAAAGCCATAAATTGTGTTCAAAATATTTAGAATAAATAACCCAAATTTCACTAACTTATATAGAAGTTTGTTAGAAGTCACTGTTACCCACAAACTGACTGATTCGCTGCATCACAGCTCGTCAGTGGGACGAGGCATCCGAATACCTCAATTCAGGATCGAAACCCGACTGATTTGGTGTCAGTCTGAGGTTTTTCCCCTATGCTATCAGCCTCTAGCCGAGTAGAGGGTGTATTTTTATCTATTTATTTTTTAATAAACCAGCCAATGACTCAGAGTGCTCGATTCAAACAAGAGTTTTGCATTATCACCAGAAGCAGTCACCGTTTAGAAATTCGCGCTTACCCTCTAAAGTACTCGACCGATAATGTTTTTTTATCTATCTATCTATCTATCTATCTATCTATCTATCTATCTAATTCCCGCCAACTATTATCTATCAATCTCATTCGATTATTATCTGTCTATTCCTATCGATTTCTATGCCAACATCAGTTGTGAAACATAGAACAAAAGCCAGAACTGATACAACATTCGCACCATATTAAAGTGACTGTTCACATTAGCTAGCAAAAGATACAAAAAAAAAGTAAGAAAAAGAAATATACATATCGATAAAAATGGATTCAAATTTGATTGGCCAGAGAATTTGTTTGACGTAATCGATTATCGATAAGGCGTTTACACACTTCCCATTCTTTAGCATCACAATGGCCACGGCACTTGCCAGAAATACTAACTTCCCTTCCCTTTTCTTCTTTTGCCAACATCAAATACATTCTATTTATTTCCTGTCTGCCGGAGGTTTTCAACTTCCCGCCTCGTGGCTCGAATTAGTCATTTTCAGGGACTTTGAACCACCCCCGACGCCATTAGCACCCCCTCTCAATTACTCAATGAATCGGTCGTTAAACTTTTCTTTCTTTTGATCAAAGTACACCTGACGTCAATCAAAAATCGATTCGTTGATATTACAATTCGCACTGATTAGTAAATTTTCGAAAAATCCATTACAATATTCTGTTCATTGTTCTTCGATGATAACGACCTTTATTTCCTCGACTTTCTTTTCTCAGAATGATCTTAGCAAAATAGTATCAAGGAATTTAGTAAACGCTGGGTACGATTAAAGATCTAGACTCGGCTTAGTTTCTTTTTCTTCATCCTCTTATATGTGCCAGGTCCCTTCAGGTCCTTAGCGATCATGGCTCTCCACAGTTTCCTGCCTGTAGAGTAAAAATGGAAGGAATACCAAGTCTGAGACTGAGTGAATGGATGCCGGGACAGTGTTTGGTAGAGATGGCTAAAAGAGATATTAAGAAATACAAAAGACTGTTGTGGAAAATTTGATACTCACAGAAGAGAGTGATGGTAAAAGAGACAGATGAAAGCAAGGTATAACCTATCTGGTAAGCCTGACTGATGGATGGCGGGACAGAGGTTGAGAGAGGTGGCAAAAAGAGTTATTAAAAGCCACAAAGGTCAGTGTAGAGTGGAAATGGAAGGTCTCATTAGACAATGGAGAACATTTACAGACAGATACTAGAGGACGCAAGTTACCTCCTCCGGTGTTTTATAAACAATTGAGTGACCAAGGACCAAGGGTATTTTTGTATTTGTATTTCGTTGGTATGAGAATAAAAATAATTTAGAATTACTACTACGACAGTCGTTGTGGTCATGTTATGGAGCGCTGGGAACAAGATCTGGTTAATACGTGGATCTATTATTTACATTATTCGGATTATTGTCCTCATCTTTGTCGCCATATTTATCACAACGCTTCTGCCGTTGTACGCTCCGGCCTTCTTCAGGTGGCTTGAATGTCGAACTGAACCCTTTATTTCGCTCACCGGGGTAGACTGTTCTAGTTCCACGTGCCATGTTTGATGGATGTCAGTTATCAGTTATCTCCTGTTAATTTCCCTCTAAAATTTCTCCACTGCACTCCACTTCTTGAAGCCTTACCTTGAGGAGACAGACTGTTTTCTGAGTGTTGTTGTCTGCCTGCCTTATGTTAAGGGGTTATCAGAGAAAATACAAAGGATCTGCGGTCCATATAACATCAGGACAACCTTCAAAAGCTTGACGACACTTCGCAGATATCTCTCCCGAGTGAGACCCCCATAGAGGAGAACATGACTAAATACTGTGTGTACGCTATCCCGTGCAGCTGTAGAAAGGAATATAAAGGAGAGACAGGCCGCCCCCTTAAGGTAAGGCTTCAAGAGCACCAGAAAGCTGTAACACGAGGGGAAGTAGAAAAATCAGGCGTGGCTGACCACATATGGAGAGAGAAAGGAGATCACCGCCCTCTGTGGGATCATGTTGAGATCATAGACAAGGAACACCATTGGAAAATTCGTAAACTTAAGGAATCAGTACATATGCTAGGCCACAAAAATCTCCTGAGCCGACTAAGCATAGAAATAAATACAATATGGGAACCAGTAATAAGGAGTGCCAGAGAAAAGCAATGATAACAACAAAAAGTTGCAATATGAGCTCTGGTAAAAACATGTATGATAACAGCAAAATTGCAATATGAGCACTGGTAAAAATGGTTGCTGAAGACATTAGGTTTATAATACCCAGAAATTCATACCCAGATGTCCTCAAGGATACATGGCGCAGTGGATAAAGGCGTTGGTTAGATCCAGTAACAGGACCCAAAGAGTGTGAGTTTAATACCCGGTTAAGGCAGTGGAGAAATTTCAAAGGGAAATTACCATCAAACATGGAGCGAAATAAAGGGTTCAGTTCGAAGTTCCAACCACCTGAAGAAGGCCAAAACATTGTGATAAATATGGCGACAAAGATGAGGACAATAGTCCGAATAATGTACATAATACCTCATCTCAGCAATATAGACAGCAAAAATATCTTTGGCCTCTGGCCACTCATCTGTTTATATAACAACGGAAGAGCTTATCGCTTCCAGGTTCTGCCTGTGAAAGTCCCTAATTATCTAATGAGACATTCCATTTCTACTCTACACTGACCTTTGTGGCTCTTAATAACTCTTTTTCCCATCTCTCCAAACCCCTGTCCTGCCATCCTTTCAGTCAGGCCCGCCTTGCTTTCATCTGTCTCTTTTACCATTAGTCTATTCTGTGAGTATCAAATTCTCCAAGCCCCCTTTCCTCATTAGGTGCCCTAGAAATTTCAACTATCTCTTCTTGATGTTAAGTATAAGTGTTGTGGTACGATCCACCTAATTTAAATAAGTGGAGTACCGATTATATAAATATGGGTTGGTACCGGGAAGACGAGGGAAGAAGTAAGAAGAGATCGAATCGAGAGACTCTGCCCGACTGCGATTAAGTCAACCCATTCTACAGGAACAGTCTTCCCAAGAATATACCAAAACTAACTGTAAATATTGTGTACCTTTTCCTTGTTTCATTACATTTTGTTTACGTACATTTTGTGTTGTATTATTATTATTCCATGCTTATCCAAGCTTCAACAATAAGTATCCTTTTTGTTGCCATTATCTCTAGAATGTTCGTCGTTGCTCACAGGTTTAGTCCTTGGTATTCCTAGCATGCTTTTGTAGAACAAAATTTCTTTTGCTTCAAGTTCCTTCATCTGTGAGCTGATTGTCCAGCATTTACTGCCGTATAGGAGGACTGATACTACATAGCAGTTCATTACTCTTTTCTTATCTGTTTCTTAACAGTTTTCTGTTACTTAAGCTGAGCTTTTGGAAGGCATCTTTTGCTATCCCCAAAAACTAAGACGATCCGATTTATTTGTACCAGTTCCATAGGTAAACAACTGGCTTCAAGCTTACCAAAAACAAAAAAAAAAAAAAAAAGCTAGTATCTATTTTTATACATATGTAAAATAAATGCATAAAAACAAGACATATAGATACATAAATAAATAAATAAATGTATTGTTGGTCCAGATCTGGCGTCTCGGCTCCAGTCACTTTCCAACCGACGTGAGATTGTCTCCTTGTGACTTTTCTATAAATACTTTTATGGTAATTGTTCGGATTAACTCTTCATTATGATACCTAGACTTTTGAATGCGATACTAGACTGGCGTCGAGATGTCATCAATTTACAATAGAGTTGGCTAGATGTAACCGTAAGTTCTATGCTAACAGTTTCTTTTCTCGCACTTCTCCCTTGTGTAACTCCCTTCCGGCTCCATGCTTCTCAGTCAAAATTAATCTTCAAAAATTTAAATACAGTGTTATCTACTGTCCTCTTGATTACTCCTTTTGTTCTTAGACATTAGTAATGTTTCTGTTTCCAATTCTTTTTCCACACAGTAATCACTTGTGTCTCAGTAGCTTGAGATGAAGCCGATTAAAAATCAAATAAATAAATTATTACTTTTTTTGAGTTTATGGGATGAGGAGTTTTCATTATTTGAACTATTTACATTCGGGCTATTGACCTCATTTTTATTGTTGTTATCACAACGTTTCGGCCGTTATGCCCTCAGACCTTCATCAGCTGTATTTCGATCTATCTTTCTGCGTATTAATAGATACCTCTCCGGATTTCAACCCGGATATGAGAATGGAATTGGCTAGGTGCTCAGACGTGTAGTGATTCTACAAATATACCCAGTCACGAGATTAACGATGATGATGAAGATGATATTTCAAGATGCAGTAAAATTAGAACTAACAAAACCCAAGGCTTATAAAACGTGAGTAGCTTCCCAGTGTCTTTTTAATAAATACCTTCATGGTAATTGTTTGAATGAGCTCTTTTGCTATGGTACCTAGACTTTTTAAAGTTAAGCACCAGTACTAGACTGGAAAAAGTTCTCACCATCTTATGGTTGAAATGTTTAGACGTAGCGTACGTCACATTCGACTGGTTAATCACGGCAAATCCCACAATACTAATTTTTTTAAGTATTCTGCTTTTGAAATTAAATTAATCTTTCACACGTCAGCAGTTTAACAACGCTCGAGGAGACACATTTATGGTGTCGAAATATAATTGCCTTTTTGTTACGATTTTTAGCATGTTTTAATATCCTAAAATAAATAATATATATATATATATATATATATATATATATATATATATATGTGTGTGTGTGTGTGTGTGTGTGTGTGTGTGTGTGTGTGTTCATACACATACATATCGAGCAGTTGGAGTTTGGTGTTGCTTTTAGTGTCCTCCCCAGATTTCGAAACAGGTGTTTATCATTGGATTTCTCGTTACTTCTAAACTCTTTTCATTTCCTTTCAATCGCAGGAGACCCTTGCGTCTTAGCAGCATTATAACCCTGCTTAGGAAGAATTGATATAATCATATATATGTATATAGATATATGTATATGAATTGACTATATATATATATATATATATGAATTGACTATATATATATATATATATATATATATATATATATATGTATATATATATATATATATATATATATGTATATATATATATATATATATATATATATATATATGAACTGACTGATTTAGATAGATAGATAACTATGAATTGATTATTCTATAGTCAAACTGCTATAGCACGTCAAGCTATATGACGGTTCCTGTAAGATACAGGTTCGATTCCTTCCGGAGGACATATTTACTACGAAAATTTCTTGAACGTTCAGGCCAGTAAATGTTGTTCATACTTTTTATTATAAACAGAGCATTTACTTAAATATTAGTTTTTATATAAATAACGTATAACAATTAAATATACTAAAATCATAGATAGATAGATAGATATCAACAGAATGAGATAGATATGAACTGACTGATATATATATATATATATATATATATATATATATATATATATATATATATATATATAGAGAGAGAGAGAGAGACAGACAGATATGAACACAATGAGGTAAACGAAATATTACAAATAGAGAGGAGGAATGACAAGAATATGATGGTTGACGCGTGCGTGAGATTGAGTCAAATACCAAAGAAGATATTTTGATTTACTGCAGACAACGACGAAGCATAAACTGTCGGTCGAGTAGGTGCATTAGCGAACATAAATCATATTGCATCTTGCACTGCTTAACCAGTTCTTCTTCTTCTTCTTCTTCTTCTTCTTCTTCTTCTTCTATTGCTGCTGCTACCGCGACTACGCACGTTTCTACCAACAGCTACCACTGCAAATACCATGGCTGTGTGCCGTCAACTACACACTCACGCGATGTAACATCCACTTACATACATGCATAAGGGAACAAATACGCCCAGACATCGGACCCCGTATGCACAGATATGCACTTACACACGAGGACTCTTGGAACACACGCGCCTACACGTGCTCAGGCGTGCTAAAACGGATTTCGCTAACGTTCACTTTTTTATATTTTCAGCAGAACAGAGAATCGTTTGTTCCCGTTCAACCTCATTCCTTGCATGACCTCCACATTACGACTTAAAAATTAAATTTGGCGAGGGCAAGGTTCTTATCATGACGCTCTTTGTCATACGAGTGTAGCACAGAGGTAGACAATGTTGTGGAGCATTTTACATAAGTCGACGTCTGGCGATGTCCGATAGAAATCCCCTCTCCCGGCTTAGTAATATCAGTATTTCGTCTCTTCTGTGACATTACTCCGGCATTTTTATGCGCAAAGTCACTGAGAAACATGTCACCCACTCAATATCTGTGGTATCACCCCCACCCCACCGGCATGTACAGCACGATACATACAATACCCGGGATTTCCGTTTCACGTAGATTTTGGCGGGCTAGAGTTGCTAGTTTCACGCAAAACGGTTTACTTTTCCTTCTCCTAGGTTAGTAGACAGCCCAACCAAGGTTAAATACCTAGTTTGCTTTGGTATTAAATCTAAGCTGGCGGGTGGGAAAGAGAAGGATTCATACCAAAGACGCTTCGCACGCGTTTGCAATACCTTCATAAATACATACAAACATATATATATATATATATATATATATATATATATATATATATATATATATATATATATATATGTATTCAAATTGGTTTGGTTAAATAGACATACTATGTTTCTTGGTAGTGTAGAAAATTGATTAAGAAAAATACTAAATTTTTTCTTCATTAATTTTCTACCAAAATTGTTTCGTGGACTTGAAAGGATTAAAAAAAATAAACATATTATGTTTAAATAATTTAACTAAACCTGTTTGAATAAAAAATATACTGCCTAAATACTAAATAAACAAAATATATATATATATATATATATATATATATATATATATATATATATATATATATGTGTATATATATATATATATCAGTGCGTTAGTGAGAGAGTGTGTATGTCTGTGCAATAAGAATAAACGTGTAAAGCAAGGCAGAAAATTAGAAGCTTAGAGAGGGCAACGATCATCGTGAATAAGGTGGAAGATGACCCTGGAATAACATATATATTTTTTAACTTTATTTCAATACTTCATGAGCTTTAGATCCTTAGCTATGATTCATTACTGATGGATTTGTCCTTTGCGTTTATGATCGATTTCATCGCGATTCTCCTGTCAGACTTGTAGAGTAATTAGACATTCTTATTGCTCAAAGTAGAGTCCAAAATTGTTATAAAAAAACTCATAGAATTCCAGTAAGATATCTTTAATCATTTGTAGTCACACAACAGTTTAATCTAACAATTGGATAATGTTGCTGTTACACGTTTTCTACAATTTTGCTAATATATCATTCATATATATATATATATATATATATATATATATATATATATATATATATATATATATATATATACAGAGAGAGAGAGAGAGAGAGATAGACAGATAGATGGATATATGAAGTACGATCAAATATAGCTTACAATCGGACAGAATGTTGGGATAAATAACAAATAGAAGCTTATAACTTACCGCAAAATCTCTAACTATAAAAGGCAGGATGTGTGTGTGTGTGTGCGTGTGTGTGTGCGTATGTGTGTGTGCGTGTGTGTGTCTAACGAATGCACGGCCGCAATTTTCGACGGATTTGCACCAAAATTTACATGCACATGCTCCAAGTTAGCGGGAAGGCCAAGACCAACTTTGCATTTCCCAACTCCCATCGATAGTGGAAATAATCGATTTTTTTATGCTTCTACGGCAGTTTTCATGTAGTTTGCGGCCATTTTTTACTGGCCACAGTAAGAGCCTATAGCTGGCAGCCACGAATAGGCAGGAAGATTCTATCGACCAGCGTGAGAGCCAACAGCTGACTGACACGAATGTTAACTAGCATGCTAGCATGCAAAAAAAATAGATAGCTGCATTCGTCACAAGTGGGAAAAATTTAAATCTGCATGGCACTTTACTCCAATTGACCCATTCGCTTGCTTAAACTCAACGTTGATTCTGATTCCGCAGAACTGGGTTGGGTGGGAAAAAATATTTGTTGTTAACATTCTTTTTTCATTCGGTTTTCCAGTTACGAGTCCTTTTTTAAAGCTGATCGTTTTGTGTTCATTTTGTTTAGTTCTTTTTTCGTAACAGATTTAATGTTTAATATAGAGCTTAGAAAAAATTCGCAGTGTGAGATAGGCAAGAAGTAAGGCATGTAGCAACATCAGCACGGCAAAGGGCAATCCTTTAAAGGCAAGGAAGGGCAAAAATATTTTAAATCAAGTGATAGCGATTGCTGTATGAGTCGTACAATTTTTGAATCAAGCACGGGCAACGCCGGGCCATGCTGCTAGTCTCTAATGAGGCTTACATAAAAGCGAAACATGTTCAAATTTTATAAAGGTTTCCTTTTTGTTCCTCATCCTATCAGACACACACACACACACACACATATATATATATATATATATATATATATAAATATATATATATATATATATATATATATATATATATAAATATATATATATATATATATATATATATATATATATATATATATATCGCCTTGTCATGACGATAAACTACATCTGGAAGGTTTTGAGGTGTGGACCGACCTTTTAATTGCTGTTGGTCCCAGTTCCACCTTGACTGGGTGTGGTAACACCAGTTACCCTCCCATCTATGGCCAAATAGTTAAGCCCCCAAACTTGGGTCAAAACACTATTAAAGTGTCAGAAATTTTATAGTAAAAATACCAGCAATACATTTTTATAGTGCAAAAAAAATTACCAGCAATACATTTCGTCAAAAATGAAACCAAAAAAAATTGCCAGTAATAATATTTCTATCAGGAAAAAAGTTACCAACTCTACATTTTGTAAAAAGAAATTATTAATGCTCCCAAGAAAATTAATGATGATTAACATGTCTCTAAACAGAAGAAACAGAAAACAATATATATATATATATATATATATATATATATATATATATATATATATATATATATATATATATATATATATAGTTTATGCAAATGTAATCCGTATGGGTAGACCTGAGGAGGATGATATCCAGAGAGCTCAATGTAAAATTCAGAGCAGATATGTTTGAATAAAAAAACAGACCACGTTAAGATTCCATGTAATAAGCTATTTCACCATAACCCTTTAACAGGGTTCTGGATCATCAGACTTTACTTCCAAAAGCTGAAATGAAAAATGAAAAGAAATTCACACGTTTCTGACGGACCTCATCAAGTATACGTAAAATTAACGAAGTGAGGAAGTGAGGTGGGTGAGAGGATATGAGTGTGTCATATGTATACGCCATAAATAGAAAACTTTATCTTTATTATCCTTATTATCACTCATGATAACAAAAGGAAAAAAATGAAAAAAGAAAGCTAGCTAACCGGTTTCGAACCTCGCTCAAAATATCGAGGTTAATTTAAGTTCAGGAAATGATGTGTAGGTATGAGTCAATAATAGAAAAATTTGAAGTACGCTTAAAATTTATAATTTGAACGTTGGACGCTGTTTGTAAAAGTAAATACATATATATATATATATATATATATATATATATATATATATATATATATATATATATATATATATATATATATGCAAAACATTCTCAGAATTAATCTGTAGAAAAGATAAGATATATACAGGAAAAAGACAATAAGAAAACTGTATGTAATTTTAGCCGACGCGTTTCGTCCACTGTGTACTTTATCAAGGCAAAGAACGAAATTAATTTATTTGAACATATTATCTACAAACAAAAAAACAAAATGTTGTTAGTTACTAGAAGAATTTAGAAACGCTCATCGATATTTTGGGGGTCAACTGAAAAATTACGTCATTTACTTTTTATGTTTGAAAAGAATTTTTCATATATAGAAATATTGCTTAGCATCTTGTGAATACGGATTCAATCCTTTTCTTTTGATTTCTTGATATATTTGCTGCGTATGTAATCATTCTGTTATGAAAGGTGAGATAGAAAAACAGGGGCGTAGATTAATATTTGGATAATATTCAATAGCGGCACTCTCGAGGATGATTTTATCATTAAATCAATTTTAAAATGAATATTGTGGTTGAATTTATTTCTATGCATGACCAGTGCATTAATCAAATTGTTATTTATGAGGTACCTTTTGTCCGTCTTCACAACAATCCAAAAACTATTTCTACATATGAAAAATTCTCTTCAAACATAAACAGTAAATACCGTAAAAAAGATATGAGGAAAACTATATTTAATTTCAGCCGACGCATTTCGTCCATTCACGGAGTTTATCAAGACAAAATCGAAATGAATTTATTCGAAAACCATTCAATTAAAACAAAAATGGAATGTTAGTTACCAGAAAATTATAAACGCTCATAAATATTTTATAAGTTCAACTGAAGACTATTAAAATACGTTATTTTGCATACACGAAGAGAATTTTTTCATTTGAAGTATAAATCCGTTGTCTCTTCTTGTTTGAATTCTTGAGTAAATTATGTAATTCATAAACAGAGGAGTCTTCATAAGCTTGTGGAGGTCGTAAAATGGCCGCCCAAACATTAATGCCACCCTCTGTTCTATTCGGCATTTAAGAGTCGATTCTAACCGCGCGCCTACGTTGTATCAGGATGTAACACAAGGCCGGAGTTTAATGTGGGATTTTCGGAAAAACGTACATTTGATAAGCCCCCCCTCTCTCACCCCTTTTTGGAACGAATCAATCGCCGGGTAATGATCTTAGGTCCCTCTCTCAAAGATGAGGTGCTGGTCTCCTGGAGGCTGAGTGTATATTAATTTGAAAATCCTCGGCGTGAAGGCATCAGGTAATGAGTAATTGCAACTCATTCAGATGTTGTTTTTTGTTGTTGTTTTTTTTTTAGCATTCTTTTTAGGTGGAATATTTTAGGCGTCTCTCAATTCAAATTTCCAATGCATTGATACAGCTATTTTGATGTTACATACTTGGATGTTACATACAAACATGCATAACCAAACTATTAGTATGATATAAGCGTACCAAATCAAGAATGGCAAACCATTAATCTTTAACGTAAGGTAATGTCAGAGAATCTCAATTACATTACGTCAGAGTGAAAATGTATGAGACGACATTTCCTGTCTAAAATGACTGAAATCAAGACTTTAATGGGTGGAAATCATTTTAGAAACCGTTCTTGCAAGAAATCAATAAGATATAATATCAATAAAAAATCAATATTAAACAAGAAAATATTGTTGTGAATATTTACATCATATGCAGAGTTTTAATATATATATATATATATATATATATATATATATATATATATATATATATATATATATATATAATTGTTTATTTAAGAAGCAATTTCGCTTTTATACAAGTTTAATTAAAAACGCTTAACAAGGTACTGCGGGTAAGTTTTTTTATTTAATTTTTCATGTGTTCTTATATTTTTCTTCATTTATGGACGTAAATTGTATAGAAATTGTCCAAATGTTTTGTCTGACCGAGAGCTTTCGGCTATACTTTTAGTTATTATCAAGGATGAATTTTGTTTTTACTTTTAACTGAATATATCTATTGTGTTATGTATATATCTATAGTTATAGGAATGTTTAATTTTCCAAACACTGTCAGCACATTATACCCGTGTTCATAGTTGGTAATATTCAGTATTGGCTTTTATTTTTTTTATTAATAATGCTTCCATTATTTTTAGCCTATTTTTACATGTGGATGAAGCTATTATATTTGTATTATTAACGAGTACGTTGCGGTAGGTCTCCATGTGTATTTAAATGAGACCAAATTGAGCTATGTTCAAATATATTTGCCCATTTGGACGCGGATTAAAAATAAATGCACCCCAAAAAATTACCCTGTATCCAATGCAGCAGTATTATGTATGAAAAGTACATGAAGACCACGAAAAAAGTGTGTTTCACCAGGAATCAGTACATGCATAGAGCTTAGCTCTAAAACTAGGACTTCTGGAAGTCAACAAACAATATCCCTGAAAAATTCACCCAGGGAAAAGAAATTAAGAAATTATTGGAATTGTACAATATTTTGCTGCTTTTGTAGAAATACTAAATTTTACAAAAATATTTGCTTTAACTGGTATCTTGCTGCTTGTTTTGTGTGTTTTTGTTGATATACAGGTATTGGAATTTACATTTCTGCATGTATTTTATGGGACTTCATTTACCAACAAGTACCATATTATTTTTTGTTATTTTGCCTATTACCATATGTACCAGTGTTCACTGATACCAGTAGTTTTCTTTGTAGCCATTATAAATTTACTGTATGTGCAGATGTTGCTCCCTGAAAAACAATTGAAATAATTTTCAATAAATACATGATGAAATGTACTAAAATTCTTCTTTTACAAAAAAAAGGGTCCTGGTAATTAAACCTTACCTCACTTCTATTTAAAAAAAAAAGAACCAGTAGTATAATGTGTGCCAATACTTTAAGCATTACTTCATGGTTAGTGAGAATGTCACACAAAGGTAAGGTTATAATTTTGATTTTTTTTGTTTATGATGTGTGCAATTTTACTAAATATTCCAAACCAAAATCTGGGTGCGTCCAACAGGCAAATACGTTATATGATTTCTGGAAATATTTCTGGGTTTATTGCATTTGTCGATGACACAGTTGATCATTTCATATTCGTTCTTTTTAATGTAAACTGCCATTCTTTGCTTTTCCAGGGTTTGAAATTCAAATTATTTCTTCTCCTTTCTGGGTGTTGACGATCATGTCTTTCCACGACTTCCATTTCTGTATTTTCTGTGATTTGTCATAAGTTTTTGGCAAGGATAGCAATTGCCTTCTCCATGGGTTGGAATTCAGAGTATTCCTATTTGCTTGAGGACATAGACGATCATGTCTCTCCATGGTTTCCTTTTCTTTATTACTTGTGAGTTATCAAGACACTTTGGGAAGGATACGGTAGTGGATTTCCTTTGATTTCTCCACTATTTGAGAAAATTAATGGGGTAGTTTCCCGTGTTAAAGTCTGCGGTTTAGAATTCAGAGTTTTCCTTTTCCTAGACTAGTTGTCAGGCAGGAACACATTTTACCCTGATATTAAAACTCTAGTTGGTGTGGTAATAAAATAAGCATATCTTATCTTCCTTCTAGCTTTTAACAATCCATCATAATAAAATAAACGTCTTCCAGCGCTAAAGCAGAATTTGCCAAATAAAGTTTCTACTTCGACTTGTTACTATATTACAGTAGGCAAACTTAATTTTATATTTTAATAATATGTCTCTTTGGGTCGGAGACTACCAGGAACTGTAATTATACATTTGTTATGGTAATTTACCCACGGATGCATGGGCCCTCCCAGCTATAAATAGGAGCAGTTACTGCCTTTTGGAGAAGAACATTTCCAGCAGTCAGCTCAAATAATCGGACCGAACATCCTCGCTGTAACACTCTCGTTTGTATATGTTTGTATTACTGTTTCTGTTAATATATTTTTTAACTCAATTCCTCTCTTTGTGTCATTATTTCTGGCTCTAACAAGGCAACAACGTTTTTTCTTCGGGAATTAACAAGAATGTTAAAGCACCATTTATTTATTCAAGTTTTTATTTGCATTCTTATAATCTCTAATTATATGGAAACTATGTTTTTTTTTATGTCCTTGAGATTTTTGAAAAATTAACCCCCAACTTTATATAAAGATTATAAGAAAGATTTTCAAACTTTTAAAAAAGCTTTTAAAAAAATTCAAGTTTACGGAGACAATATACGTCAAAAACTGTGTCAACATAAATATGTCCTATTGACATTTTTTTTTCTTTTTTGACACTATTTACATTATACGGATTGTTGTCCTCATCTTTATTGTCATATTGAAAGCATTGGTTGAAGTAATCCAAAAAGTGACTTGACCCAAAGAGTTGTGAGTCCATACCTGGGCACAGCAAAGGTGAATAAAAAACAAACAAAAATAAACTTGGAGAGTTGACTATTTACATTATTCGGACTATTGTCCTCATCTTTGTTGCCATATTTATCACAACGTTTCGGCCGTTATACGATCCGGCCTTCTTCCGGTGGTAGGAATGTCGAACTAAACCCTTTATTTCGCTCGCTGAGGTAGACTGTTCTAATCCCATGTGTCATGTCTAATGGATGTCAGTTATAAATAAAAGGTTCAGTTTGACTTTCCAAGGCCGGAGCGTACAACGGCCAAAGCGTTGTAATAAATATGAGAACAAAGATGAGAACAATAGTCCGAATAATGTAAATAGTGTACATAATACTTTATCTCAGAAATATAGAGAGATATTGGAGAGTTGAGTTACTGAATAGAGAAAACTGAAACTGAGATGTCCAGAAAAGGTATGGCACGTGGAACTAGAACAATCTATCTCCGTGGACTAAGTAAAGAGTTCAACGTATATCAACTGAAGAAGGCCGGAGCCTACAACGGGCGAAACGTCGTGAAATATGGCAATAAAGATGAGAACAACAGTCCGAATAATGTAAATAGTGTAAATAGTTACAATAGCTCATCTCGGAAATATAGGCAGATGTTTCTTTTTTATTTTTATTTAATTTTATTTATTTTTTAAATTTAATTTTTTAAATTTTACCAGAATGGCAATAACTAATGATCTAAAACTAGAATATGACATTAAAAAAAGAATGGATTGAATTTGCAACGCACCTGAATTTTCAATTTATCCCCCACCCAAAGTAATCCATTTAGTGTTACAAGGTTTCAATGAAGCAATGACAGATAAAAATATTTCCTATTCTGTCTCTATTCTCTAATCTAATGAACACTAAGGAATCTAATGAACACTAAGGAATACGAGGAGAGGGAAGAATAGGAGTAGAAGGGTGAGTAGGTGGTAGAGTAAGAGGGGGAAGAATAGGAGTAGAAGGGTGAGTAAGAATGAAATTAGGAGGGGGAAGAAGAGCAGTAGAGGGTGAGTAGGATGGAAAATAGGAGCGGAAAAATAGGAATAGAAGGGTGAGTAGGATGGAAAGTAGGAGGGAGAAGAATAAGAGTAGAAGGTTGAGTAGGATGGAAAGTAGGAGGGGGAAGAATAGGAATAGAAGGGTGAGTAGGTCGGAAAGTAGGAGAATAGGAGTAGAAGGGTGAGTAGGATGGAATGTAGGAGGGGGAAGAATAGGAGTAGAAGGCTGAGTAGGATAGAAAATAGGATGGGGAAGAATAGGAGTAGAAGGTTGAGTAGGGTGGAAAGTAGGAGGATGGAGAATAGGAGTAGAAGGGTTAGTAGGATAGAAAATAGGATGGGGAAGAATAGGTGTAGAAGGGTGAGTAGGATGGAAAGTAGAAGGGGGAAGAATAGGAGTAGAAGGGTGAGTTGGATATAAAATAGGATGGGGAAGAATAGGAGTAGAAGGGTGAGTAGGATGGAAAGTAGGAGGGGGAAAATAGGAGTAGAAGGGTGAGTAGGATAGAAAATAGGATGGGGAAGAATAGGAGTAGAAGGGTGAGTAGGATGGAAAGTAGGAGGGGGAAGAATAGGAGTAGAAGGGTGAGTTGGATATAAAATAGGATGGGGAAGAATAGGAGTAGAAGGGTGAGTAGGTTGGAAAGTAGAAGGGGGAAGAATAGGAGTAGAAGGGTGAGTAGGATAGAAAATAGGATGGGGAAGAATATGAGTAGAAGGATGAGTAGGATGGAAAGTAGGAGGGGGAAGAATAGGAGTAGAAGGGTGAGTTGGATATAAAATAGGATGGGGAAGAATAGGGTAGAAGTGTGAGTGGGATGGAAAGTAGGGAGGGGAAAATAGGAGTAGAAGGGTGAGTAGGATAGAAAATAGGATGGGGAAGAATAGGGAGAAGGATGAGTAGGATGGAAAGTAGGAGGGGGAAGAATAGAAGTAGAAGGGTGAGTTGGATATAAAATAGGATGGGGAAGAATAGGAGTAGAAGGGTGAGTAGGATGGAAAGTAGAAGGGGGAAGAATAGGAGTAGAAGGCTGAGTAGGATAGAAAATAGGATGGGGAAGAATAGGAGTAGAAGGATGAGTAGGATGGAAAGTAGGAGGGGAAGAATAGGAGTAGAAGGTTTAGTAGATGGTAGATTAGGAGGAGCATAGAAACATAAATGCGAACAAATTTTATACAAATTTGGTTGGATTAAATGTTCGGACTACAGAAATAACATCTATATTTGCATATTGATTATTTTCTATTGGTATAAAGATTATCGGAAGAAAAAAGAAAGCGTTTTTCTTTTCTTTTTTTTAAATTGAAGCTAATTAGTTGATTCTGCTCATAAATTCTTGATAAAGATTTTTTTTAAATAAAGAATTAATTTTATGTCGAACTGTTCTTGATGTTTGTAAATTAAGACGCAATAGATTCTGAGTTAATAACTGAATAAAAATTTACCTCACGGTAAAAAGGTGCCACAATATCAAAAGTTGGGGTGTATAAATCTGATATTAAAAGTGAGGGTCTAAATCAGATGTAAACAGTGAGGGCTAAATCGGATACTAAAAATGTGGAGGCTTGATGAAATACGAAAAATCGGGCCCTAAAACAGATACTATAATTGGGTGGCTAAATCTGATGTTACAAGTGTGGCGTTAAACCAGATACTAAAATTAGGGGTTTAAAAGAGGTTTTAAAATAGGGTAGACCAAATCAGATAATAAAAGTTGGACATTAAACTATGTATTGAAAGATGGAAGAGCAAAACAGATGTTAAAATTTCGGGGTTAAACGAGATACTAAAAGTAGGGGCCTAAAACAGATGTTAAAATGAGGATGCGAAATCAGATGTTAAAATGTTGGGAATTAAACCAGATACTAAAAATAGGGACCTAAAACAGATGTTAAAATGGGATGGCCAAGTCAGGAATTAAAAGTTGGAGGTTAAACCGCATACTAAAATTATGGGTCTAAAAAGGGGGTTTTAATGAAGAGGTTAAAAGTTGGAGGTTAAACTAGATACTAGGCCTAAACATGGGGTGCGGGCTAAATATATTATATGCCATGAGGCGTGTGCACCTCGAGGTGGTGTAATGGTTAGCGAGCTTATCTCACTAGAAAAATTACGACTGACTAGTGAGTTCGATTATCCCTGGGTCCCCCCTACTTTCGGCCTTGTGCCACATCTAAGCTACACTCTGAAAATCGCTATATGTCCTGAGGCAAACTCAGATACAAAATATGATATTTGAGAAGTGTCGTTGAGGGGTTTAATCTTATGTTACAAGTGTAAAAGCTAGATCTCATTACGAGACATTATCCATTACACCACCCGCACATCCAAGCTTACATCAACCGGTATTCCCAAGGTGTCACCTATCTAATTTCTGACCAGTTCCAAGTTCGTAAACGTTTTTGCGATATCTGTTTAAAGTTAGAAAGTGAGCATTTAGGCAGCTGCAGTTCTGATATGGTTGCAATATTCCAGATTTCGTCTGGTATGATTTTTGTAAATATCGAAGAGTTGAAGAGAACAGACATTCTAACAAAAAAAAAAAACGGAAAAAAAAAACAAGGACATTTGAATCGCCTTGACTGTAAACACAGTAAAACGAACTGGTCATGTCAGCAGAATGCTGACAATATTTGTCAATGTCACAAAATAATATGAAGTCAGACAGTCTGAAATATGACTGACATGACGATCGAGTCAACTAGGTCTATTTCCTAACCCGCATCTACAAAATAGACATTTTTCTTTTAGTTTTGACTGACGGAGACGAACTCCCGAGCAGACTGGTGCATGATTCCGAAAGGGAAAGCTATGTGAAATACCTACAACTTGAATAGTGATTTGTCATGATGCAAAGAATGCTGGCAGTTTGCAGACAAAAAATAAAATGGAAGAATCTTCAATAACCCATGCAGGTAGTAAAAAAAATAAACATCACTTGACAGCATTATTGAGCTATCTTGTCTCTTTTAATATATGTATTTATAAATGGACTTATATATGACTATATTTATATAAACATAGATATATAATAATAACACAGGCAGTTAGCGCCTAATAACACAGGTAGTAAACGCCTAAAATATTGGAGTTTAAAGCGTATAAAAGTGATCGAAATTTGTAAACAGATTGCTCACTATTAGAAAAGATATCAACATTAAAAATACTTATCTATAGTACTTAAAGAGTCGCAGGTGCAGCGCTCGTCAGCGTTAGATAAAACCATTACATTTATTAACAGCTATTTATACACGCTAGATAAAAATGCTAATCATTGCCACAAAAATTGAAACGTTCAATATCTAGATCTATATTTCTGGGATGAGGTACTGTAATTATTTACATCGTTCGGAGTGTTGTCCCCATCTTTATTGCCATATTCATGAAGTTTCAGCCGTTGCAAGCTCCAACCTTCTGCAAGTGAGATACATTGGAATTTCGATCGAACCATTTATTAAGTGTTACGGGGGTGTGAGTAGATTGTTTTAATTACACGTGTCATGACTTTTTGGGGATATCTCAGTATCAATTAATTCTCCCCAAGTTTCTGTTCTCTCTGTCGTGTCCAGGTATTAAATTCACTACTCTTTGGTTTAAGTAGCTTTGTAGATGAATTTAGAAGGAGCCTGTAACCCAATCTTCAACTGGAAACAATGGAAAAACCACTACTCCGTTTTTGTTTTTTGTTTTTTTTATATATATATAAAAAGTAGAGGATTCTGAATCGGGCGAGGCGAATCTATCTACTCTTATTGAGGAAAAGATAACAAATAAATAGGTTTAGGCGGGAACATCAGAAGTATAGTTAATTCAAAAAGTGACCTGATGCAAAGAGTTGTGAGTTCAATACCTGGTCACTACAGATGGGACAAAAACTGGGAGAATTACTAAAGGGAATTAACTAAGATGTCTAAAGAAGGCATGGCACGTGGAATTATGAGAATCTGTCTCCGTGGACTAAATAAGAGGTTCGGTTTGAAATTCCAGCGTATATCGCCTAAAAAATGTCGGGGCGTACAACGGTCGAAACGTCGTGAATATGACTATAAAGTCGAGGACAATAGTCCGAAGGATAGAGTAAATTGAAGCGTAAATATGTACAAAAAAAAAAAAAAAAACGTTATAACATAACAATATTTGAATATTTAAGAAAACATGACAATATTGGAATATTAAAGAAAAATGTTATTACACGAGAGCATTTAATCTTAAATTATTTGGATTTTATATTGTATACATTAGCCGCCGTTGTAAATTTTATTTTATTTCAACAAACGTTAGCAAGGATTATATAGTTTAAAATATTAAACACATTTAGATCATTATTAAAAAGTTAAGCATTGACTTCAACCATATTCTCCACTAAAAACGTTAAAACCTTATGACATTTAAACATTGAAAACGTGTCAAGCATAACAACTTTTGTTCGATATTATAATTTAATATTTTCACCTTTATAAAAGATATTTGTGTTCGTCTCATGTTACCTATGATCATTAGATAAAAAGAAACATTTATGCATAAGTGTTTCTGTGTAAGGATGCCTCTAATAACACTTCTGGACGTCCTCCTTGTTTAATTCCGTGAATTCAGCCATAATCCTTGCCTTCAGTTCATGTTTGGTGCTACAAGGAGACTTTCGCTTAACTGCACCCAACACATAAAAATCAAGGCGGTTGCTGTCTGGGTAGTTAGATGGTCAGATGTAAGGGGCGATGTGGTCGCAAAAAAAATTCAGACAGCCATGACTGTATTCTCCTGCTTGTGTGGTCTGGTGCAGAGCCTCGTTGCCAGACATAGAGTCTTCCAGTAGATACCCTCTTGACCCAGGGCAGCACTACCCACTCAACTGCACGAATGCACGTACATAGATAGATAGATAGATAGATAGATAGATAGATAGATAGATAGATAGATATGATAAAAACATATACTTGCACTTACATATATATTTATTTCTCAGGTGTTATAAAAAGAGTTTGCATGCAACTCCGATCTGTGCTATCAACGTTGGATATTATGCATATTCAGTAATATATATATATATATATATATATATATATATATATATATATATATATATATATATATATATATTGTGGCCTCCCCGTCGTTGATTGACGAGGGCTATTGACCTGCGCCTACCGGGGACCTGTATGAGTGTCAGACAACTCAGTTCCTCAGAACCGACAGCCAGACAACCTGCACATATGATTTGATTATAGTGTAGAAGGGTTTGTGCAAAACTAACCACACTTTTTATAGAGCCGAATAGAGAGACCTGGTGCACTGTGTGCCATAAGGTCCCCAAACGACTCTCAGCAGATTTGGAATTCAGAGTTTCCTCCTCCATCCAAGGATATAGAACCCAGTCTATCCTGCTATTTACCCATACCTGAGGGGAGAAGATTCATAGCTTTTCAAAGGGTATTAGGCCACCCTATATATATATATATATATATATATATATATATATATATATATATATATATATAGTGTCGAGCATAAGGATCCGAACGATGTTAAGAAATCTAAATGTGAAATAACATTTTATTTTAAAGCGTCAAAGAACATTTTATCAAGGAAAATTAGGGATATAAAGTTAAATTTAATAATTATTTTGAATCATTGAAAAATTTTTAGGGTAAGATTATAAAATAGGGTATTTTACTAAATTACACCGGCTCTTTACTGGCTCTTGCATTGTAAAAATGGCGAAAAATCTCTGACGTCATTGGAACTTAGAAAACTGATAGTCAAGTTATGTAACGAAGATAAACTCTCGATTGGGGATATTTCAAAGGCTGTGGGAAAATCTAAAAGTGTTATTCATAGTATTTAGGAAACTGTGTCATGTGAAGTCAAGAAACCACCTGGCAGGCCGAGGTAAACTACTACAAGATAAGGAAAATGGATTAGTAATGAATCAAAAAAGGATCGATTTGCGACAGCAACCGCTATCTCTAAAAGAGCTAATGCTAAGCTTGGGATTAAAATATCAAGGCACACTATTTCCCGAAGGCTTGAAATAAATTTAAACAATTGAGTAGCCTCTACGAACCCTTATATTTCTAAAAAGAAACAAATGAGCCGATTGAAATTTGCCACTGAACACGTTATATGGACTGAAGAACAGTGGGATTGTTTTCATTTCAGCGATGTGTCAAAGTTTAACCTGTTTGGTTGTGACGGGAAAAGGTTCGTTCGATGCAGTCTTAAGGAACAATATTCGCCATAGTGCATTAAAGCAGCGTTAAATTTGGAGGAGGAAGTGTGATGCATGATTTCAGCTGCTGGTACAGGACCTCTTGTTAGGCTACACGGTAAAATTAACGCAACTGTATACAAAGAGATATTAAACAAACATATTGTACCTAATTTGAGAACTGCAATTAATCAACCAGCTCTATTTATGCAATATAACGCGCCGTGTCAAACAGAGAAGTCTGTTAAGACATTTCTTTCTGAGGAAGATGTTACTGTTATGGAGTGGCCTGCTCAAAGCCCAGACATGGATCCTATTGAGAATATTTGGAAGTTACTAAATGAAAGAGCTACGGAAAAGAATCCAGCAAACGTCGAAAACTATGAACTAATTTGAAAGGAGAATGGGAGAAAATAGCCGTTAATTAATTCAAGACATTAATTCGCTTATGTAGAAAAAGATGCCAAGCAGTTATTGAAAGTAAAGGTTTACACATCTAGTACTTATGAACGCTATTTTCATTTGGATATGATGCATCCATTATAATAGTATGATTTTGTTTTTGTTCTGATGTTTTTGATCATCTATTTTTTTCGAATGTTATATAATTATTCTTACAACTTTATCAAAATAAGTTTATTGATCTTTATATTTTGGAATTATATAATTTAACTTTATATCCTTATATTTCTCAGATAAAATGTTGTTTGAAGCTTTAAAATAAAAAAGTTATTTTACATTTCGACTTTTTCTTAACATCGTTCTGATCTTTATGCTCGCTACTGTATATATATATATATATATATATATATATATATACATTTTATTTCTTAAATATTTTAAATATATATATATATATATATATACACACACACACACACACATATATATATATATATATATATATATATATATATATATATATATATATATATATATATATATATATATAAATATATAATAAGCCAGGAACAACCTACCTAGGTTTCACCTAAACGGATCTTCAGGGTAATCTGGTAGGTTGTTCCTGGCTCTTTAGGATTTATTTTATTTATCACAGCTCTATTAGTGTATTGAGCACTCTACGTATTAGATTTATTACCCGCTTGAGGTTTTTTCTTTGGACTAAAAACTTAAGGCACTGAACGATTTATTTCGCCCTGTTCGGATATTTTTGTTCTTTCTTTTTTTTTCTAATTTTTCTTCGGGTACCAATTTGTTTTGATAAACTTGCAAATTGTTCTATCCGATTCTTTTTCCAACCGAGTATTACTATTAATATAATAATTTTAAGTTTTAAATATAAGTTTTTTAATATAAGTTTTTATATATATATATATAAAGATATCGACCTCTGACAATAGCATGATGACTTTACTACAAACGGTAAGTGATTTCAGTGCCCAATGAGGTCTTCTGCTAAACATCAAGAAGACTAAGGTAATAGTGATTGATAGTGTCCGCAGTTTTTAGAGACTGACGGATGGTAGAGGACTTTGTGTACCTAGGCTTCACCATCAATACTTAAGACAGCTCTACGCGGGAGATCGTGAGAATAGCAAGAAGTGCTCCGATAAAAAAAAGGGAAACATCTGAACTAGTCGGAATATACATATCGGCCTGATGTTGAAATTGCTACGAGCAACCGATTTCGCCATCGCCAGCTACGGATGCCTATCACGGGCACTGACCAAGACCAAGAGAGAAAGCCGCCGGATTGACGTTTTCAAGATGTGGGTATATCGCAAAATTCTTAGAGTGCCATGGACAGGAAGACGCGGGTGCTAAATATCACCAGAACAAAGTACGTATTGAGAGAGCAGATGGTAATAACGAAACTCCGTTACGTTGGGCATATTATGCGACGAGAAGCGTTCGATAAGGACATTATGGTGTGCCCAGTGGAGGACAAGCGGTAACAGCGGCAACCCCTTATATCTTGATTTGATGATAATTAGCGGTGAAACCGGGCAAGATAGATAGATAGATAGATAGATAGATAGATAGATAGATAGATAGATAGATAGATTAATCTATTGAGTGTGTTTTTTTTTTATAAAAGATCTCCTTATGTTCATATATATATATATATATATATATATATATATATATATATATATATACCCCCAAAAATAGAATACGACGACAAAAGTGCTCAAAAGTAAAATGCAGGCTATTGTAATAGTGTATATTTTATTAAACACACACGCAATTACACACACGCACAAACACATACACACACGCACGCGCGCGCGCACACACACACACACACATATATATATATATATATATATATATATATATGTATAGGTCCCATCTAAACTGGCAGGATAAATTTCACAAAATTTGTCTCCGAACGATCTGTGGGTATACATTTGACGATAGGATGTCCAATGCCTGTCTTCTCGAAAAAATTCAACATTGGTGGAGACTAACTCCGAGTGAGTTGCCCTGGATAGAAATGTGTGAGTGTGTTTGTGCGTGTGTGTGTGTGCGTGTACAGAAAATATATTACACTTCTGGTTTAAGTTTTAGAGGAGTGTTAATCTCCTAATTTTAAGTGACTGGGCTCAGAAAAAATAAGAATTATTCATGAGTAATGACCATAATGATACACTTAAACTGATCCCCGCTCGCCTCGTATTAAAAAAAAAAGTTATGGGCGGTATTTTCTTAAGCTTAGTCATTATAAAGTTTTATGATATCGTTGTTCTCTTTGGTTCAGTCTTTTCATAGATCGATATGTGAAGCCTTAGACATTGGGTTATTCGGAAAATAATGTCCGATTTTAGAACAAACCTTTATTCCTTAAGTAATGCATTTAAACATTGTTTAAATCAGTCAAAATAAGAACCCTGAACGATCTATAGATTTCTGCTGTCGAGTTACAATGTTTTTTATACCTTTACAACAAAACACTAAAGATTTGGACAATGAGGACATTTAATCATCAGAAAAGAAGGATATAATTTTGTGCAGCTCTTATAATAATATATTAGAACACAATTAAAATATTTATTCTAAAATTGGACATTCTTCACGAACGACCTAATATCATCTTCCAGTGTATAAACAAGGTGCATCACATATTTGAGAACGCTTAAATTATTAGGAATAAAGAATATAATTTTGTGCATCTCTTATAATAATATATTAGAGCACAATTAAAAGGTTTATTCTAAAATCGGAACTACTACAAAGTAAAGTTTCATCATCATCAAGCAAACACTGCATTTTCGCATGTCACGATGAACGTTTCTACACTTAATGGAGATACTTGCTTGGAACGTCTACCGGGACTGAAGATTTAGCCCAACCCGTATATATGATCCGTCGCCAAAAATGCTGGAAAGATTGTTGGTTTCTTGTACATCTTATCCTGACCTGCTCTATCCAGATGAGAACAAGACTGGTGTATTGCTGCCACATCTGGACCGGCCCTACCAAAACCTCACCTTCCAGGTTTGACAGAGTTCAAGAGCATTAACACGGCCTTGGGATCGATAAATTATTTTCCACCTTCGAACCCATCCCCATAGATGAAACGTTGTTAGCCTTCGCTACTGTATTACTATTTTTATGGCAGACGTTCATTCTTTAGCCAGTTCAGACCTTCACAGCTACGAGCCAAAATACTCAGGGTCGACTGTTCCCCATTTCCATCACTTTCTGGGAGGAGGGATTATCACTATTTACGATAATTAAATTTGGACTATTGTCCTCAT